AGGTGCTGGGAGCAGGGGCTGCCTGCTGCCCACAGATAAATGCCCTTAGCTGCCTGCAGAGGATTTGTGCATTTAAAACTCCATCCCAGGGCCTCCCGGGTTTGGTTTGGGCTCTGCTTCCGCCTCCCCTTCCGCCTGTCCTTCCCCACACCCCAAATCTAGTCATCCTCCGAGGCTTTTCCATGCAAAACGCTAACTTTGTGCCTGCCCTTGCCTGCAGGTTTCCAACACTAGTTCCCGATCTCCCTCCCACGTCAAAGCCAGCTGTAAATAAAAATAATAAACCAAACCCTAAAACCCTTCCAGAGCCCAATTCTCCAGACCAGAACGGGACCCTCATGTGACACTGGGAGCATTCCAGCTGCTCGCCAACCCAAACAGACATTAGCCACTAAGAACTTGGAGGCATCAGTCCCCGCTCGGAGCGAAGCACAGATCAACCAGTTAGAAAGGCCAAGGGCTGGCTCCTCCTCTTCATCACATGCACGTTCCCAAAGAGAGGAGTCATTGTGCCCTGAGGATCAGTGCATGCACATCGGCAGAAGTCCCCTGAACATCCGCACCCAGGGTAGGCTCAGGACGATATTCAGTACAGAGCTACCAGCGTGGGCTCGGGGAGAGGCTGGCGCCCCTCCCTTCACGCTGCTGGGTACTGTGAACGTCCCCCGCGTGTTAGGGTACCCTTCCCTCCCTGTCCCCAAACCCTGCTCCATCTGGCCCTGCAGTCGCATCTTCCTCGCCGTGATCCTTCCACCAAGGCCAAAGATGGAGGGGTGGCTGCCCGGGACCCCTTTTGGGACAGTCAAAGATTAACGTCCAAGGAGTGACTAAGAGAGTGGGGATCTCGCCTCAGGAGCGGACAGCAAGTGCAGGAAGAGCAGCGGCAGCCAGGACGGTGGGAACACAGCCCTGTCGTGTTCAGTGGAAGAGCTCCACCAACACCACCATCAGGAGCAGCTGCAGCCAAGAGCCAAACGTCATGGTGGCCTGGCCCTTCTGGGACATGAACCTGAGCTGGTTCACCAGGCGCTCCTTCACCAGAGCCTGCTTGAAGCCGTCCTCCTCTGAGATGCAGACATAGTGGCCGTAGTGAACGTGGCTCACGTTCTGGATGAAGTGGAAGCAGTCCTGCTGGGGGTGGGTGGTGTTGCAGGTCTTGATGAGGCTGTTGTTGTGGTACCAGTTGTAGGTGGCATAGTGGGACTCGATGGGACAGTTGAGGTAGTAGCGGGAGAAAGGGACGACTGTGATGTTCTGATAGTCATCTACTGGAAGAGATTGAGAAGGGGGGGGGATGAGACAGGCATCTCCAGGAACCACCGATTCCCCCCCCATGTCTGGAGGGAAGAACAGTTGGGGTCGATGGGGACATGTTACATGGCCATTTAACGACAAGGGCGGGGCCTGACCCGCGCCTGGTGAAGTCCGTGGGACTCTTCTCCCTGGACATCAGCAAACAGAGTTTGAGCCCTCTCACCCAGCTCAGAAATACATTATCTAGCGATTAACTCCAAGCTGAGACTTGCTTGCTGTCTCGGTCTCAGCATGGTCATTCCCAGTTCCCCGGCAATGAGTTGCAACACCTGGCACAGCCCGTACAAAGACCTGAGAATCAGTCACCCTGCCCCAAACACCCCCTGGATAAATGGCCTACAGCTCAAAACCTTTACATACCTTCCTTAGTATCCCCCTTTTGGCACTTTCCTCGCCACGGGTCCAGGTTCAGGTTCTGGTGTACCTCCCTAGCAGATGGGAACAAGCATTAACAAAGCACTAACGCCAGGGAAGCAGCGCTGCAGGGCTAGGAAAGGAATCGCTCATACAAGATGCGGTGGGTCAGATAAGGAAGACAGTTTAAACACCTGCTATTACCTGGGTAGGGAAAAACACAACCCACACTCCCACTTAGGAGGGGGGACAAACACGAGACCCAGCAGCTCGCCACAATCAACTGCTTTAAACAGCATCACAACCAGCGGGGCGGCACACATTTCTAACAGCAAAAGACGGGCTGGGTGCTCAAAACCCATTGACCTCTCCCTCCCCAGAGCAGGGGTGCTGCGGGGGGGACGGATCCCTGCAGAGGCACAGTTTTGGGGGACAGCACTGACGTCTGCGCTGTTACTGCCTGGACACGATGGGCTCATCCCTCTCTGTGATGGGAAGATGGCCTCAAAACCACGTGCGTCCCTGGCCAGGAAAGGGAATACTGAGGGTCTGGGTATTTCTCACATGAAAGCAACCGGCTGAAGGTGATGGAGAAACAGCAAGCTGTCGGTGCCACGTACCGGTTTAGATAAACTGACCGACAACTCCCGTTGAACCACCCGCAGTACGGGTCCCTCGCCAGCAAGCAGCTGTCACAGTTGTTGCGATACACGCTGCACATGTCCATGGGTATCTCCATGACTTTGTCTGTTGAGCCGACGTACAGCATCGCCTGCGGGAGGGAAGCAGAGGGGCTGATCATCTCGGCACCGTGTCCCAGGGCCACCTTACGAGTGTCTAGCACTTCTCCTGCAGCTTCACTGTAAAGATGGGGTGGATTTCACCAGCGGGGCTGGTAGGTCTCCGGGCAATGCAGTCGTATGTCCCTATCACGGCAGGGGAAGCAGCCATCCTTCCCCCACCAGCCCTGTGTAGAAATAAGTTTGTTCCATCAGTGACAGCAGCGTTGTCACCTCCGGGATGGAGCACCAGCGCTGTCTGACAGTTCACCTGCCAGCAAGGCTGGACAACGAGAGGGAAACTGCAGAGGGAGGGGAACGCTCTGCTGGGATTTGGCCCAGGGAGCAAACAGCCTCATTCTTCCCTCGCCTCCAGAGGGGAGGAGGTGTCCAAAAAGCTCCGTCACCCACTGACCACACAGAGAGTTACCCAGGACTGGGGACATCAGCCCAGCTGTTAGGATTTAGCAAAGCACGCTGTGGGACTCCCCCACAAACCCACCCAGAGGCTAATTCCAGATCCAGGGGCTGTCATTAAACCATCTGTCCCTGCCTCCCCTGCTGCCTGCTTTTAAAGCTACAGCCCGACCCACTGTTTTCCTTTCTACGGAGCAGGCAGAGACCCACCCTCTTGTGGTCCAGGATCATAGACTGGATCGGATCCTTCTTTGGGAAGACCTGGAGCTCCATGATGTTCTGCACCCCGTCTGGCAGCTCCACGATCTTGTGGATGGATCCCTTGTCTGGAAAGAAAGAGGGGAGAGCCCTGATGAAGCCTGCTGAGAGCAGAAAGGCAAGGCAGAGGGGCTGCAGGCAGGGGTGGGGAAGCCAGGCAGAGAACCAGCTCTGCCTCCAGCCCTCCCTGTGGCAGACAATACCCACTCTGCAGAGCCAGGCTCGACTGGATTCCTGAAACCAGCCGCCCAGAGAAGACAGGACCTTTCTCAGAAGGAGCCTGCTTGCTCTGCTGGGAAATCGTCCCCCAGACAGTAGTGTTTCCCACAGCAGAGCCTTGTCATCCTCCCAGCCAAGAGCCACGAGGAACCCATTTCCCCACGGCCCTTCGGGACTCGGCTGTGCCTGCTTTGATCAGCTGCGCCTGTAACAGCCTCAGCAAGAAAAACCAACCGCTCTCGAGCTCCGCTCTGCTTTGATCACTGGCCTGTTCTTGCGTGAGCTTCATCTCACCGCTCGCCTGAGGCTGAAACGTGGGGTTTTGCCTTTCTGTTTTTCTAACTAAACTGACTCCCCTCCCCAGCTAAACGACTCCGAATTGGTGATTTAAGAAAATGAGTCAGTTTGGTGGAGGGGTGGAAAGGCAGATCCTGAGGGAACAGGGCTCAGGCGTCCTCATTGTTTACCCCCTTTTAGTACTTGCTAAACATACTTTAGTATGTTTTTCCCTTCCCAAGTAGTCGCTCCTTTCTCCAGAATCAACCAGGGGGAGGTGAAAGATGTGACCACAGGTCAGGCAGAGATTAGGACCCCCCAGGTGCTGGCCCTTGCCTCTGCGCCCGCCCCAGCAAGGGTGGGCAGCTGCCCTCCCAAGCCCTGCATCCTGGAGCAAGCTCCCTGGCGGGACTCTGCACGGTGTTAGCTGCATTTAAGCTAAGGCTTTTGCAAGATAAGAACAATCTGATCTGAGCATGCGTGGGCCCTAATCCAACCCAGGCCACCTACTGAGAGCCGTTTGCATTTTTTTTAATCACAGAATAGGAAACAAAAGCCCCAGAAAGTCCCTCCACAAGTTCCAGTGAACAAATGCCAGCACAGTGCAGAAAAAGGGGTGAGCCCAGCTGCAGGGAGCAAGCAGGCGAGAAAGGGAAGCGCTGGGTTAGGGACCTTTGCACCTTCTGAGCAGCGAGTAGCTGCACTGCGTGGGAACCCAGGCAAGCCACCTGGCTGAGCTGGCCAACCTTTTGCTCTCCATCCCGTTCACCTGCAGCCGAATTGCCTTGGCCCAGCTCCGCAGCATCTCCGGCTGCCCCAGGGCCGCCGGCAGCTGTGAGCAGCTGGCTGTGTCTCCAGCCAGAGGTGCTGGCCTCGTAGGGAGTCTGCGCTGCTGCACTAGAGCGAGCAGGGACAGGAGATGACAGAGTGGGTCCCTTTGCAAAGGATTTCTGCTTGACGGTGTAAAGCTGCACGTGGGGAGAGCTGTGCTACCCCTCCCTCGTCCTAAAAACACTTGGCCTGAGACCACAGGCTGAAGCAGCCCAACTGGGTAAATCCCACGTGCTGGGATTCTGCTTTCAGCCTGTCTTTGCCTATGCAGCCAAATGGGATGTGTTTAGCTGTACTGGGACTTGGCAGCTCTTTTCTGCTTGACAAACATATGCCAAGCTGGGAACACAGCCCCCTGCTTCCCTCTGCACTGGGGGCCTCGTCTGCTTCCCTTGGGTTCCCTGCCCTCGAGGGGAAAGCAAACTCCGGAGAACTCCAGAGGGAATGGTTCCCAGTACCTGTTGCCAGATACAGCACGTTGTAGCGGTTTCCGTCACCCGCAGAGACCTCGTGCACCCCGATCTTCTGGTAGCGGTGCTTGTTGTGGAATAAGGGGCTCTTGGTGGGGGAGAGGGGCTCCACCCGGTCCTCCACCTCCGGGTGGCTGTCCGCTATCTTGAAGGTCTCGCTCGGGGTGTGCTGTCCAGAGGAAACGCACTGCGGCAAGAGGGGACAAAAGCCACCGTCAGAGTCAGACAGGTCCCTGAGGATGGGGCTCGAGGGCAGGAGAGCAAGGCAGGGCACAGCACGGGTATCTCAGCCCCGAGAAGGATACCCAGGCACGCGCACAAGCCTGCCCTGGGTGTAAACACAAGCCCTGGGGCTGCTGTGATTGTGCTCGTGCCAGGTCCTACCAGCGATCTCCCCTGCAGAAGTTGCAGTTTAGGAGACTCACGCCCTGTCACCCCCCCCCAGAGCCTCCCCCCACCCTGCTGTTTGCTGCCAGGTCAGTGATGCACCTGTAACCGCAGGGCTGGGCTGCAGGTTGGCTCGGCAAAACCCGCAGGGTTAGCAAACACAAGGCAAGACATTGTCCTCCAGCCTCACACACGAGAGCTCACAGACCTGTTTGCTGAGGCACGTAAGAGCCTGTCTCCCCTTGCTTTCTATGAAGGCACTGGACCTTATCCAGCCTCCTTTTGTTTCTGGCAACAAAGCTCAGATCCTTCCTGCAGTGCCTACAACCTTCCTCGCTGCCCCAGCTCTCACCTGGCTGCTCAGTGGTGGGACCGTCCCCCCACCTGCCCCAGCTACTCTGACAACTGCAGTGGCAGAGCAGGGACCTGCTCTCCTGGCCTCGGGAGGCCTCTCCACTTCATGTGGGCATCTTTTATCACTCACTCACTTGCCCAGGCTTGATCTCTGGGTTGGGACCATTATAGCCTTTGAGTTTGGATGTCCGAAACACGTTGTCAATGTCCCCAAAGGAATAGACGCAAACAGCAGAGCTTCCCCTGCGGACAACGAGACAAAGAGAGGGTCAGGGAGACATTGGCCATCACCCCTACGTCTGGGGCATGGCTGCGTGCATCGCACCTTCGCTGACCACGTCCACTCTGGCTGTTTTCCACCCACGTGCCTGCCAGAGAGACTAAAGGGCTGAAAGAAAGGATTTGGCCCATGGGACAGGACATCCCCCTGTTTTGCAAAGACCCTCACCAGGTGTTCGTGAAGAGCCCGTAGACTTTGGAGTGCCGCCAGTTACTCGCAGGGACAAAGAAGACATCTTGCAACCAGTTGAAGTTGCCCTTGGTGACTGGGTCGACACAAATCAAGCTGGCCTTCAGAAAGGTGGTCCACTTGGAAGCAGAGAGCGAACTGGTTCCCCCTTTATCTTCCTGGGGGAGAGGGAAAGCAAGGGAGTCAGGGTTTGGCAGAGAAGAACACAAAGTGCCCTCCTGCCCAGCATCTTGGATGGATAACCAGGGGATGCTCCAGAGGTGTATTTGATGCTGGTTACTGCAACTATCATGTACCTCTCTAACATCCCAGCGAGACAGAACAGGGCTTTCTCTCCCCTACAGGCAAGATGGGAGCCAGAGGATGGGAAGGCCAAAGGACATGGCCGTATCCCACACGAACTCTGTGGCAGAGGAGAGAATTGAGCCAGAGGGGCCAAATCATATGCCGGTAACACCACATGAGCTGGCACGTCCATTTGCCACCCCTGTAACACTCTTGCCTCCCCACCATACGCTGTTCCTGTGGTACCTTACACAGCTGGGCCACTCGAGAGATGTTTCTAGGGGCCTCGGGACTCTTATCCGGGTTGTCTTCACGAAAGAAGTAGTAAATCTTGTCCTGGTGAGGCTCTTCGTGCCTTAATGTGGTGGCTTTGACAAACTGAGGGTCTGAAAAGGGAAGCGAGCCATCAGAAAACCTTGGCCCGAACACACACGTTTCATCTGAAAAGCCACCAGTGGGGACCAAACCAGCGTGCTCTGCAGTTAACCACTAACCCTCAGACAAGATGAGGGTGCTCCCGGCAAAGGACAGGTCCGAGCCCATGCTCTACACCTGGACTGGTGCATCCCACCTTCCCAGTGGGTTCCCCTTCCTCTCCCTCCTGCCCAACGCCACGCACCCGTTGCCTTGAAGGGCAAGTCCCCAGAGCCCGGTGAAGCCTCGGCTGCTTAGCAGCAAAGGAAACCCGTTCTCCCTTCTTGCGCAGCGGAGCTATTATCGTAGAGGAAAGCTCCCCCGGTGGGAGCAAGCTGCACTGTTGTTTGTGTTTGCCGTGGAAAACCCAATGATGCTCTTCCTATTCATACACCACTGCCATAAAGGGCATCCCCAGCAGCGGCAGGGTCCCTCTGAGCATCGGTAGCTGGCGTCCCCATGGCAGGGAGTTCTGTGTAAGCATGGGATCAGCCTCGCGGCTCTGGGTCTATCAGTTTTGTTTGCTGGTGCCTTGGTTGCCCCCTCCATTGCCCTGCATGCACAAGTTCTGTTTTGCCCTTGTGTCATTTTGATTTGATTTTTTTCTTCGGCCGGGGGTTCAATAATCTCCCATTTCCCAGTGTCACTGAGGAGGCTTGGGGGAAGGCAACGTAATAAGCTCATGGAAGCCGAGGAGGGCCCTTTCTCTCTACTCCCCACCCTGTCCCATGCACAGCCCAACATGTTCCTCAAGGTCTCACCCTGCCTGGGGATTTGGAAAGAGTCACTGCCCGGAGTGGAAGTTGTTCTTCCTGTTTCCACCAGCTGATGGGCACCTTTACACAACCGTATTTCCTTCCAGCATCTGACAGGGGACTTGCCGCCCATTTCTCGCCATTTCCCCATCTCCTCCCCCTGAGCAAGAGGAACTTACTTGTCAGTTGTTTTGTTCCAGAAGCAAAGAGGTGAAATTCCCCCAGCTGCCAGCAAGAGAGCTGGAGGGAGCCGCTGGGTCCCTCCTCGCTGGCATTGCCGAGGGGGACTAGATCAGCCCTCTCCGCAGCTCAGCTCTAGGGGTGACCAAACCCAAACAAGAAGCTCTGGAGCTGCACCCCAGCTGGGCAGAGAGGATGTACCCCTCCAAGCTGTGCTTATGGCCCACAGCTGTGGGCTGACAAAGAGTCCAACTGATCTGCCTGGAGGGGCAAAGCGGCAGGTCCCACGCCTCCAGGATTTCCCCTGTACTTACTCTGCATCACTGTGTCACTTGTGTAGAGCTCTCCACCCCCCCTCACTCGGCGGAAACGGGGTATCTTGCCGTTCTGCTGGCTCTTCTTGATGGTGGAGTAGATGTCATGACCTGTGGGATAGGAAGGCTTATTTGCAGCAGGCTGTTTCTGGAGGGGCAGGAGGGTTTGTGAGAAGAAATCAAAGAACCAAGAACTCTCTGGGCACATGGACTCACAGAGGCAGTGGATACAGGTCAAGAAACCCAGCCCTCACTGCCTAGGACTGAGCAGGCCTGGCAGGATTCCCCCAGTCCTTTTCCTTAAAGAGCGGCAGGGACAGATTCTTGCTCTACCTCTGGGAAAGATCTTCATCTGTCCCTCTGCCAGGTCCAGAGCAGTGGAGTTACTGCAGGACCCTCCTTCCCTGCTGTTTCCATTGCACTCTACCCTCCTGCACAGAGACTCAAGCCCCATGCCCTGGACAGGAATAAACAACCCTGTGCCATGCTCTGTCCTACAAGGATGTGCATTTTGATGAGGCAAAAGCAAGAAGCTTTCAGGCCGATCGCCAGCTAGAGCAGAGGAACAAAGCCCTTGGAGTAGCCTCAAGGTGCCCCTTTTTGTTACAGAGAGCCCAGCCTTCCTGCACAGCACTACGACTGAAAATATGTGAGCAGTCAGACTTACCATCAACGACGACGAGGGTATTCGAGTCAGGGGTGAAAGGAGCAATACCTCTCCCATCCCACGAAGTGCTCTCCTTTCTCTGCGTCTGGATAAGGACAGAAATAGTCCCTAAGTGTGATCAGTTCAGGGAAGGCAGGGGAGCCAGGTGCCCACATCCACCCCTGGGGCAGGAGGAAAGCAGCTCTCTTTGACTGGCACAGCCCAAATGAGGGAACGATGCAGCCCATCGTCGAATGGGCCAGGCAGAGCCCCTGCTGCAGGCAGGAGGTGAGGAGAAGGGGGCTACGACAAGTGAGCACAGAGGTGGCCCATGCGGACCTCTGATCGTGCGGGCTGTCCCATGCTGTCACGACAAGCTCCTCGAGGGAGCTGGCATTTGGGCATTTCAGAGCACTCTGAGAAGGAGGGGGGATCAGGGCACCATTTTACAGATGGAGATAGCACAAAACAAAACAGCAAGTGCTTTGCTCTGGTCCCATCGCAGGTGGCCACAGCATACCAAGTTCCAGCAGGTGGGAGCGCAGGCGCCGGTCCCACACACTAACATCCCATCTCCATACTTCTCCACTAACGTGAGGTAATTTTTATTGTCCTTCTGCAAGAGAAAGAAGAGGAGCATGAGCAGCTGCAAATGGCAGAGCACAGCCCCACAGCTCCAAGCCCACAGCACTACCAAGCACACTGCTATATGGCTTCCTAGCTTTTCCATGGCTCTTAAAACCAGAGGAGGAACTTAGTATCGTCTCATCTGATCTCCTGCTCCACAGGCACTGGAGGTCTTCACCCAGAGAGAGCACGTGAGGAGCATACACAGTTCCTTCCCCAGCAGTCCCCCAACCCTCACCCATCCAGCTGTTCCACATGCTGTTCCACCACAGGTAGGACCTACCAAACTCCCAGGCATCACGCACAGTCCCTCATTTTTCACTGGGAAGTCTTCCTAGGATAAAAGAGAAAGAGAGATGCTTTAATTCCTTCCCTCTAAAAGCCAACCGACGTGGGCTCAGCCCCATGCGCTACATGCTAGTCACTCTCTTCACAAGAAGCAAAGCAAGCACGTTGGTGAGAAGGTCATTAAACACTGCAACGCAGCCCTTTTCCCCACCTCGGCGTTTGAAAAGGCTGGGGGAGGCTGGGCTGGACCTCTCAGGCCCTCGAGGGGATGGGGAGAAGTGGGGATGCAGGGCCAAAATGGCAGGCATGACTGGCAGCCAGCCTGGGCTGCTCTCCAAAGGGTTTCGGGAGAGGGTCTGTCGTCGTGGGGAATGGGTGTTCAACAGTGGGTGGTGTCCAAGGGTTGAGACACGTGAACCACACTGTTCCTGGGAACAAGAAGGGAAGTATCTGGGCCCAAACTTCAGCAACCGACTTGTTTGAGAAGGACAAGAAGGGGTCATGAGAAAGCCAACTGAAGGGTTTTCCTGCTGTAAAACTCAGGGCCCGGCTGATCCAGAACTTCCTGCTTTTGAGGAAAAGCAGCCTGGGCTCCGACAATGGAAAGGGATGGGAACATAGCTTCTCCCCAGTGACGTGAGTTTGAGCACCCCTTCTCACACTAAAGAAAGGGTCCCTCACCGGAAAAATCCTCCCTCTGGGGCAGCAAAGACCTCGGGAGAATCACAGCCTGGGAAGAACCCACCCACAGCTAGTGTAGGAGACTTTCCCCTTGCTGCAGCCATTCATCATACTGACGTTGCGCCTTCCCGGATGGATGGGGCAGGCTGGGCGGAGACCAGACCCTTCCAGGCCTGACTTCACTGCTGGCAGAGACACTGAGCAAGGCAGCAAGCGTTTGGGCTGTGAGACGGATGCTGGACACTTTCTTATAGGGCTCCGGGACTAAACTTGTTAGCAGAGCATCCTTACCACGTAGTTCTCATAGGTTGCAAAGTCATAGTAATAAAGCTTTCCCTCTCCCCCGATGTAGATGGCTGAGCTGTTTTCTTTATGATAGAAGACCGGGTACTTCTCACTCCTGGGAAATGCATACTCTTTCGCACCTAGGAACAGCACAGAGGAGACACGGGTCAGGGAAACCGCAGCTGACTGCGGAGAGCCCCCGCAGCCAGCTCAGGCTGATCAACTCCCTTTCCGTGTCCTCGGTGCGAGTAATGAGAAAAACAAGGACACGGGGCTGGGGGCCCTCCGGGATGGCTGGCCCAGCACCAGGCAGGCAGGGAAAGGCAGCTCCCAGGCTCAGAGCTGAGCTATTTATTGTTCCCTTGGCCCCAGGAGAGCTGCACAATGGAACAGCCCCTGCAGGTGATGGAGGAAGAGGAGGAGGAAGGGAAACTTTGCTGCAGGAGCTCTTGCAGGAGACCAGAAGCTCAAAGTGACTTAGAACTGGCTCTGCAGCAGCCAAGAGAGCGCTGCCTTCCTACCTGCTCTAATGGCCGAGTGCCTCCTGCCTCCCAGCTTTGAGCTAAGGGCTCCCTCCCCTCTCTGGCCGTCCTCTGACAACCACTCCAGGCAACCGCCTCGTAGATTTGGCTCCTGCATCCTCTTGCATTTGACATGCCTGCAGCTTTTTGTGCCCTGCTTTGGGACCTTGCACAGGCTTAATTGGAGCTGTGAGTTCTTACCCGGCTGAATGGGAGAGGAGCTGCTGCGCTGCCTTGCAGCTGGGGGTCAACCTCCCCCTCTCCATGGGGTAGATCATCGCCTACCAGCCACAGCCCAGCATCACACCTCTCCTCGCCAGCCTCCAGCTGCACCGTCAGCACCCTCCCTCCAAGGGCCAGGAGGGATGGACAGGGTTTGGAGGTCCCAGGCCAGAGCCCACACGTGACAGGGGAAGGGTGCGCGTAAAGCTGCAACTCACGGGCTCCGCACCCCAGACGTGAACGAGAAGCGAGCTGCAAGACCTAGGACCCACGTCACAACCGGTTGCCGCAGATGGGAAGCATTCCGGGCCCAGCTGGGAGGAAGAACTGCCTGTTCTCCCCTCTTTCACCTTCTGGCTTTTCCAGCTCCTCTTTTCTAAAAACACCCTCCCTTCCCCTCTGCGTTGCCAGCTCAGGTGTGGGAGGCTGGCCCTGCACCGCAGCGCAGTTGTGAGCCTCCTCCCCTGGGGCTTTTGCTGTCCCTCAGTGGGGTCCGCTGGTCCTGCATCCCTCTCCGGGATGGTGCAGCCACATCTGGGCAGCTTTGAGCAGCCGCACCGGGGCCCAGCTCCGCCGCAGGGTGCAATGCACATGGCACATGTGCCGTGCCGCACACTACCCTGTCCCCTGCCATAGTTTGCAGCAATGACATGAGAGGGATTGCTCCTCCGAGGGGGAAAAGTCTCCGATCAGGACTGACCTCTCCTTAGCGCGACAGGGCACTTCCTTTTCGTCTCTCCCTCTTTTCCCTTTTCCAAAGAAGAGGGGGCCTCTCTCCTGGCAAGTGCTGCTGCTCCCAGCAGACAAAGACTGCGTCTGCCCTGGGAGCTGGCTGCCTGCACAGACAGGCAATTAATCAGTGGCACGTGTCCCTCTATTTATAGGGGCACTTGGCAGGACAGGCAAAGGACAATCTTTGCACAGTCCAGCACTCCCCCTCCGCCCGGAGCATGCCATGCAGGGGTCCCGCCAAGGCTCCACAGAGTCGAAAGTAAAAAAAGACTTATTAGAGGTCACTGGGGCTACTGAATGCCTGCTTGATTTGAGGCTTTTTTCTCCACTTCACTATGCTGGTCGCACCTCCTCAGGGTCTCTAATCCCTGCGGGGTTAAACGGCACCCAGCCAGCAAGGCTTTCCCATCACCGGCTTGGCTAACGGGGGATGCTGCCAGCCACCACCTGGTGATGGAAAACCCTGCCAGACCCACGGGCCGCTGTTTCACAAGGGCACCTGAGCTGCAAAGAGAGAGGGTGGAGGTGTGCTATGGTACAGAAATGATCCCTGCCCTCCAGACTGCAGCTTCTCGCTAACGCAACACCTCCGGGCTGCCCTTCCCTTGCACCGTGGGATGGAGGTCGCGGGGCTGCATGGCAGCAGGGGGGGATTCGGCAGTCGGGACCCCGCAGCCAGGAAAGCCCAGCTGGATGACAGTCCCTGCCTGCTCCCCGTCCCCTCCCTGAGCGTGTGCTTTGCCTGCTGGAGAAGCTGGCATCAAGTCTTTTCAGAGTGACTCTGCAACTCATTTGCCTAAGTGGCCCTACAAGCAGGATGCCAGCCGGGCATGCCAGCTAGCCCGGGCACAGCACCAGCCACAGACTCAGTCTATGCTTGCCAGGAAGGAGAGGACTGATCCCCTTTTCACCAGCCCCCTTCCCAGCAGTCCTCAAAATCTCCCTCTTGGCCCAACCTGAGGAGCAGGAAGGCAACAGCCCACGCACACGGGAGCCCCTAAAGCCCTTCTCCCCCACCCAGCTACCACTGCCAGCACAACCCATCACCAACATGCCGCAAGCAGGTCTGGCCAGACTTCAGCAAACTTTGCTCTTGTTTTTGAACCTCCAGCCTGGCCCCTAAATTTGCTGCTAATCCAGGAAAATATACACCTGCAGCCATTCCCCACTCCTCTTCCTCCATCTCACCCTTTCGCACACTTCAGCCCCACGTGCTCCTTTGGTTTCATTTTGAGGCTTTTTCACAACACTGCCTCTTTCTTAAGCTCAGTTCCGAGAGCCGTGCCAACCTGCAAGGACACACTTCTCTCCAAACAGCCAGAAACAAACAAGCCCAAAACAATAATTTGGTTGGCGCCAACGTATTATTTATCCTACCGCTCCCCGGGGACTGCACTGAATCACTAAGCTGAGAGTAAACAGCTCTGCTAGCCAGGGCCCAGAAGCGTGTTTGCGGCTCCAGCACCGATTTAACTTGATCTGGAAGGGAGCCTTTTAAAGGTGTTTCCACGAGCGAGTACCGGAGTCCCTCTGCCTCCGCATCAGCCCTCTGGCTGACCTGCAAAGCTGGCCTTCAGCCCTGGCTCTGCCTTAAACAGCTCGGCTTAGGCAAGCGGTTTGATCCCCTTCGCCTCTGCTTCTCATCCGGCAGGATTGGGGGGAGCTGCCCTGCACCCCCAGACCAGGAGCCTGGGCTGTAAATGACTTCAAGAGCCAGGGATGACAAGGCAGAGGGCATCTAATGGCCCACACTATGTCCCCAAAGAAAGGGACGTGCCTCTCCTAGCAAGTCCAAGGCTGCTTTTGACACTACAAAGAAAGGCTCGCCCCCCGGGAAGGGGGAAGGCACGACCCTGCCACCACCCTCCCTCCGAAATCGAGTCCGGAGCTTCAGAAGACACAGGGCTCATTTCCAGAGCCTCGCTAACCCCGCCGAGTCCCTTTGCCTGGCATTTACTGCAAACCTCACCGTCAGCGCACAAATCAATGGCACAATTGTCAACTGAAATGCTAACCCCGGTCCGGAGGAATGAATGGGAGAAAGAGCGGCTTTGTGCTTTGCAGGCGAGATGGAGAGTACCGCACCAGATTGAAGAAGAAGAAAAATATTAAATGAGGGAGAAGGAGGAAGCCCGGTGCATCTCGAAAGGATGCCTGCGGGGTGAGGTAATGGAGGACGAGGGAAATGAAGAGGGAGATGCTCTGGATGAGATGAGGGCAGGGAGGCCTGTCCTAAACACACAGAGCAACACAGCTAACAGACGGAGCGATCCTGCTTCCCATCTGATAGGGTGAAACGGGCCTGCCTCCCTAGACACAGCTTGGACAAATCCAGCTTTAATGACACACCGAAGGGCTCTCTGGCTCCCTTTGGGTCCAGAGGCCCCTTCAGAAAGGCACCAAGAGCCTGGGCAGAGCCTGGCCCTCCCCAGCATCACAGCAAGGTCGGGCTCCCAGAGCATCCCAGAGCTTCGTGCAGGGGGGGAACGTGCCCCCCACCTCCAGAACAGGTGTCCAACTAGAGAAGCAGTGTGGGCGTGCAGCCTTGTTGCAGGCAAACTCATCAACCCAGCTCTCATCCTGGCTGGAGGGCTGACTCAGCTACAGCACTCCTTCTCCCCTCCACACTCCACCATTCCCTGGTCTGGCAGCTGGCTCCGGCATCCCAGACACTCAGCTTAGTCACCAGCTTGCACGGCTCCCAGCACCAGTAGCGGGCAAGTCTTTGCGGGTCTACGATTCACTGATGCCGGGGGAGGACTACATCTCCCTAAAATGGAGGTGATGGTTCGAATCCACTCTGGTGCCAGCATTTTAAAATAAGGAACTGAAATAAAGCTTGGGAAAAATAAAAAGGGAAGGAGGACGAGATAAGAACCTGCTGCTTCTTGGAAGCGGCACTGATGTAGAGGAGAGGCAGATCCTTTACTTGCTGCTCATAAAACCCTTGTTAAGTGGGACCCCCCTTGGAACATGGAGGGGAAAACAGGCAGGGTATGGGCTTTACCTGCTCCCTGGCACTACCCGCTCCACACCACGGGGCCTGTGCTGCCCTGAGCGGGGGAAGTTCCTTTAGCTAAGCTGCCTGTGTTCTCCCAAACTCTCCTGCTGCTGCCGTACGATGGGGACACAGGGCTGGGCCACCCACCAAATGGCAAAACGGGATTTAAACCTGTGCAGCGCCGGAGCTCACCACTGCAGCAAACGCAGCCAAGTCTCCGGCGCCGCCACGCTCCCCGACGCCCAGGCAATCCACCCGACAGCCCCGGGAACTCTTCTCGCTATAACATGTTATAACGCTGTCAGTCATCACCGTCAGGCGTCCTACCCTCCTCGGCACGACGCCGACGACACTGCCACCTGCTCTGCTGCCTGCAGGTCTGACAGCGAGCACACTCCTGCCTGAATCACCGCACTAGTCGGATCATTTCCCGGTTCCCTCCTCCAAACAATTTCTCATTTCCCCGGTTTTATATCCTCCTTCCTTTTTGAATAGACTGAACAGATTACGACCTTACTACCAGCATGTCTCCATTGCAATTCGATTGGGATTCGCTCTGACGGCAGAAGGAAAAGCTGCCTTCTCGACGCTGACTCAAGGACTGGCAATGCGGGGGTTCCCCCGGGTCTCGTCCCCTACACCGGGAGTCCTTATCTCCCAGCAA